CTGGGAAATAAAACCCAAAAACAACTGCCATAATTGCTGAACTTAAATTCTGGAATAAAACACACCTGTTAGATTGTCCTTTGTTCACTCCCAAAATTGTCATGCTAATTCCATTTAGAGCTGGAGCTGTCCAGCTCACCAGGATCATGATCAGAATAACACAGACATTTATTTTAGTTCTGTACCTCAGAGGCTGACATACTGCATAATATCTGTCAACAGAAATAAAGCACAAGTTTAAAATAGAAGATGTACACAGAAAAAGATCAAAGCTGCCTCGTATCTTGCAGAGTAAATCTTCAAGATACCAACAAGAGCTCACAGCCAGTACTGTGCTAAAAGGCAAAACTACAACTCCAACAAGCAGGTCAGCTACAGCGAGAGACAGGATGAGGTAGTTTGTAGGAGTGTGGAGCTGTTTGAAGTAAATGATGGAGGTTATTAAAAGGAGGTTTCCACACATTATAAGAACTGATAAAGAGCCAACTAAAATACATAATAAATATGTGGTGGTGAGTGCGCTCATACCAGATACATTTTCTGATTTATTACAGAGATGTTTGTCCTTAAATGTATCATCAGACCTGTTGGAAAATAATTCAGGTTCCATTAAATGAAAAAAAGTCAAATTTTCTGTATTCAGTTAATATTAATTCTCTGTATGTTTCATACCGTGCCTTTCAATCCTGGTTAGTGCATCTGTACTGAGTCCTTGTTTTCTATGCCACTGAGCAGTATGTTTGGTTATTATTCTGGGCTCACTAACCTATCATAGTGAAGATCATTGTCAAGTGAGACTCTTAAAGGGGTACTGGTGCAACTTAGTATTCGAGTGCTGTAAAGTTGGAGGACTCAAGAATTAGAGCTGCAAGCAGTGATGATTGGACTCTCGCACCCAAACACGTTGGAATGTTCCAGCATATCACACGTACACTACATCGTGTAAATTTCACAGATCACCCTTCCCATGATTATTGCTATGTAAGGCTTATGTGCTTTTGCCAGTACAGGGCGCTATGAGTATGACTGAATATTTGTATATAGATGTGTTCAGTGCAGGACTATTATCAGACATGTGCATTTTGGTGTAGATTGGTTAAAGGACACTGAAGCAACTTTGGGGAAAGGTGGAAACTCATTGCCACACCAGGGACATGCCCTTCGATGAAAACTCCGAAATGGCATAATTTTAATCCTAATGGTTTTAATATTATACTGACCAAATAAGAAATAGTTCTGATCTATTTCCTAGGAGGAGTTTGTTAAAATACAAAGCGTGCAAATTGCCCAACATGGCCACTACATCTAAAATGGCCGACTTTCTGTTGGGTTTGGGATATGGGTTGTACACTTTCAGTGAAACGTGCCATTATGGCTGCTCTATAGGGGGCGCTGTGAAGCCACTCTTCCAGAGGTATGTGCAGGACCCATAGCATATGTAATGTTTCGCCACGACTAGCATGTGTGTTTCATACATTTTGGAGAATGTTGTGGCCTCCAAAAATGAGATTTATCGTGGTTAAGAATAATAATCCAAACAGTTTCAATGGGGTCCTCATAGCACTTTGCTGCTGCGGCTTTGTTCTCTGATCCAAAAGGGTTTAACAGTTTCACAGTCATCATTGTATAGAAGTGGGATACAAACCTCTTTCAAGAATAGTGGATGTGTTTTACAAAACTCCCCATCAAAGACATCCTAAACCGCATCACCCTCTCTCTGCTGCCATTCTATCATGGTCTGTAAAGTACCAAAAATTTCAAGTATCTTGACAAGAAGTTGCTATTGCAGAATACACTGATAGGAATCAGGAACTTGCAACTTGTCGGACAGTGCCAGTGGCAAAGTCCATTTGCTGAACATAGGAAACCCCAACCCTCATCCCATTCATCCTCAACTTCATGTACTGCCTCCTCTTAGCAATAAGTACATCTACAGGTTACGGGCCTCTTCAATTTGGTTTCCATGCTGCTGCACTAGGTGTCTGTTCTATAAGACCTAATGTAAGAAAATGTTCTGCTACAACTGTGTATTGCAGGTACATCGGTAAAGAGACTCTTCCCCAGGTATTTGCCTTGTGCACCGAAAAGCAAATATATGCCATCTGCCCTAAGAAATTTTAATAAATCAGCAAAACAAAAAAAAATATTTGGAAACTTTAGTCTGAGCCAACCTTTGGGGATATGCATTTGATGGTCCCTTCATTTAAAAGCAGTAAACTTTTTTCATCTATTGCCTGATGTATATTAGATTAAATACCATGTAGTGGTAAAGTTTCAGATTGCAACTAGCTAAACACAGCTCAGCATGTCAAAGAAACTATGGTAGCCCTAAAACAAGAAAATGCCCTATTTATCCATTGTTTGGTTTGTCTGTTCTGGGCTACTGTAGAAACATGGTGGTCCGTAGAAGAGGACCCACTCCCTCTGTAGATAAAAAACACTCATTCTAAGATATCGAAAACACGATTCTTATTTTCAGGTGATTAAACACTAATGAAAACATACCTGTAAGTATTATATTACAGTTATGACAATAGATCCTCCTAAATGTTACACACTTAACCATAAAGTGAAAAATGAAAATAATCATCTTATCTTTAAAACTGTCTATTAGGTGTGGAAGCTGCCACTCTGTTAATTTCTCTTGGACAAAGCTGTCTATTAAGGCTATATTCAACCTGAAACAAAAAAACAAACACTGACAGTTAGTTTTTGCTGGTATGATCTAGGTTGGTCCAAAAGTGTATACAACCTTTGAAGACCAATGAAATGTAAAATTATCACTTGTGTCACAGTTGCATGAGTTTCCAAGCATAACTAGCCATCCAAAAATGATACTCAATGCAAACTCACAGATTTAAAACACATCATCAACGTCTTATGGGTCTTCTGACCAGATTTCAGCTGGATCTGGTCAATCTGCTAGGAGTAGCCAACCCAGTCTCATATAAAAACGTACCCTGGCTACGTTGGTCCAAAGTGCAAAAACGTAGAGGGGTTACAATAATGGCCCTTAAATTGTATCACTGTTACATTTTTTCTGCCTATTCTTTTCATATTGTTTTGCGTCCA